ATTACTCACATCAACATCCTCATTTAACTCATTCAAGGCCTCAAAGTTATTCCCCACTCTTGGACCTTGGATAACATTTTTAGGTCTATATTCTCTCCTAGGAATTCCTTTCTGCACATCCCCAACAATAGCTTTCCCTTTCCTATTTTTCCACCCATCATCATGGCTCTGGCCATTTATTTTATCAGTTTTCTGCGCAACAGTGACCTCCACCCCTTCCTTCTTCTTTTTGCGGCACAAGGATTCATCATGACCCTGTTTCAGACAAGCAGGCCAATATTTGAATTCCTTCTCATATACAATCATTTGTCATCTAGCACTCATGCCCCCCATATCAAGCCATAACCTCTTAGGATTACTAGCCAGTAAATTCATTTTCACACATGCCCTTGCCACTCCGGGCCTAGAAAGATTTAAGGTGGCATTATCAATCACCAAAAATCCTACCAATGGGGCTTAATATGTCTCTCAGGCTTTCTCTATTAAAAAGATGGATAGGTAGACCAGGTAGAGACACCCAAACTGGGACTAATGGAGGTTCGATTCCAAGGAAAACTCTGGAAACCATTTAAAGAAACGGAATAGAAATCCTTCTATGTATGTAGTATCCTTAAGCCACACTTTCACATAATCTTCGTAGTTGGAAAATCTAATGAGAATATGCCTTGGATCTAAAGCGCCTACCGTAAAATCCCCTTTCAACAGCCACCTAGAGTTAATAAACTCCTTCACAACACCAAGAGATGGCTTACCATAGGCACATTTGCCTATCAAAGTGAGGTTGAAACCCTTAGAGAGCTCTTGAGTTTTATCTGGAGACCAGTACATCCCTGGCCCCCCATTGTTGAAAACAACTCTTTTGGCAGGCTTAGACGGAGTTGCAGAGATAAAAGGAACCGATGTTGCAATATCCGGTGTTATCTGAGCCGATTGGCTGTGTTGGGTAGTCAAAGCATCCACTGGAAGCTGGCTACCCCGCCCAGGCAACTGGGTTTGTAATGCTGGGAAATCTCGATTCATCAGAGGAACATGAGGGAGCGGAATGCTAGAGGGAACATTAGGGATCTGGAATTCCATTACGAGCGATGGCATTTGAATGTTTGCAGAGGTGCTCACAGTCGAAGGAAAAATCGATGGTGATGTAATATTTGAGCAGGACTGGTTATGGTACAACGGAGAATGAAGAGGCATATGGAAGGTTTTAATAGAGCCCAAATGATCCACAGAGGAGGGTGGAAATGCTGAAACAGACAGGAAAGGGAGAACGATTTCCTTGTTCGTGGGTTTCTTGAACAGTGATGCGAAGTTTTTGGTTATGTCTCGCGATTTGGGAGAGAAATTCAAAAATTTTGTTGGGGTAGTGATGGGAATCCGAGAAACATCAGGCTTTTTGGTGGAATTTTGCTCAAATTCAGGGCAGAAGCCATGATAAATGCACAGATCTATCAAAATAAACAAGAAACAATGGCAAAGAGAAAAGGTAGAGAGAAGTGAGAGTTTCTCTCACTAGAAAATGAAAAGGTGCCGCCTTAAACCCTAAACCCTAAACCCCTAAACCCTATACCCCTAAACCCTAAACCCCTAAACCCTAAACCCTAAAACCCTAAAACCTTAAAACCCTAAATCCTGAACCCTAATACCCTAAAACCCATGTTTGGTAACCATGAAGTGTGAATAAGATTTCAAACTCGGCCCGGTCATGAAACCCAAGGGAGGGGGGGTTTCATTTGTGAGTTTGGGGGTTTAACATGTAAATGACATATATACCCCTATATATCTTATATACCTCATATATATAAATTGGTTAAGTGGCACAATAGTTATTTATATACAAATATATTATCATAATAATCATATAACTTTGCGCATACCAAATATGGGTATAGACAGTATTAAATGTTGAATCTCATCTTTAGGTCAAACCCAAGTTTGGACAATCTAATCGAAACTCCTCCCAAAAAACATACCAATCAGACCCTAAATTCAATGGAACTAATAGAAGTTGGAGTTTTCTCTCTAGAAACATAATACCTTCCCCCCCCCCCCAAAAAAAAAAAAAAATTAATAAATAAATAAACCCAAACCCTAACCCCCTATTCCTAAATAGGTTTTCCTAAAATTCTTGATTCATAACCGAGTTTGTATTAGATTAAAAAAAAAGAGCTTCTATAGTAATGCTATAAATGAAGTTTTAAGAAAAAATTGCACCCAAAAAATTAGAGGCTCGTTTTGATGGACAAAAGGCCACCCCAGCAAGGAAAACAAATATAGCAATGGACAAGAGCACCAAATTCCAGGGGAATAGTATACTGGCAACGCTAAGGCATAATTTAGTTTCAAATCTGTAGGTTCAAGTGGTTTCAATCAGCAGACGAACACAAATTAGATCAGCAGAGTGTTTAAAAGAAAATTAGTATTCAATCTAGACCATACTTCCAAGAGAATCACAGGAAAAATCCTCAACGAAATACCAATGAACTTATTCAGAAAAGCTCATATCTTGGATACGTGAAGAGTCTTGCAGAAACATTCTTTCATACCACCACCAGCCAAAGTGAGGAAAATCAAAACACATCTTCAAGGCCTGTGTCTTTATGACTTAAGGTTCTGATGGTGATGGCCTGCGAATTCCTGGTATCTGCAATACAATTCAATAAAATATCATCAAACAGTTGAAGTGACAAAGAAAAGAATCTGAAAAAAAAAAAAAAAAACAGATTCAAAACATCAAAATGAATAGCTCAAATAAAAATACAAAAATATTCCTCCCACGCCTTTTTCTATTTTAAATCTAATCGCCAAATTATTCTTGGTTGTAAACGAGATGAGAATCTGAAGGAGAAGACAAAAAATAAGGTGAACTTGAAATTAGCTATTTGTAATGAGATCACTCTGATATGTGTGCAACCTTTAATATCCCAATATATGTGTGTATGAAGACCTGATTCGGCTCAGAATATAGACCCATAATGCATAAAATATAAAATCTGTCTTCAATATCCATGGTAAAAAATTCTCTATTTCATTCTCCAAGGAAAATACAAATTTAAGCTGAAAAATGGAAATGCTTGGCCCTCAACAACTAACCAACTTATACTGGATGTCATATAGTTATTAAGTAACGAACTACTGAGACAAGAACACCAACCTCAATGCCATGAGGGCCTATTCGATTGCGAGAGATAAAACTGAGTAAATGAGTAGTAAATTCATCAGGCACATCTTCCTGTATTTTCACCAAACTGATTAATAAGCAACTTGTGGTCTCAATCAAGAATTACGAGAGAACTCCTCGTGAAAATGAACAAGACAGACCTGTATAGCGTGGCCAGTATGTCTGATAACAATCATTTGAAACTTGCCTTGCATTTGACCAATTGTTAGAGTTCTATAACATTGCAGATAAATTGTCAGTGTTTTAACTTGAACAAATTCTTACATTCTCAGCACCATACTTTTACGCAATAAGCTAGCTAGCTACCTGTTTTTATCTCAGCAAAGTACAAAACAACAAAAAATCTCATGGTTCCAGCTTGAAGCAATTTAATATGATAACTAATAAAGCACATGAGTACCACAACAATAATAATTGTTGTAGTAGTAGTAGTAGTCATAATTATTCTAGTTTTTATCTTTATTATTACTAAGAGAGGTATTTTTGTCAGTATACTATTTTACCTATACATAAAAACTACAGAGAGGTGACCTTTAATTCAGACTATTCTCTCTTTCAGCAACCACTCTTCTCTTTCTTTTTTCTTTTTTCTTTTCTCTTTTCCCTTTCTTCTCTCTTTTCAGCAAGTTACAATCATTCAACTTGGCATCAGAGTAGGACTTGTGGCCCCAAGTCCATCTACAAACAAAACATAAGCATATCTTCAAGTCTCTAAGGAAAAGTGTATTTATTCTGTTTTCTGATTTTACTGCTAAAAATTTTTAAAAAAAAAAAATCTTCATGACTGTCTAGATAAACCCAGCCATATGATTTTTCTGGATTTTTTTAGCAGACTTGAGGCATCTTCCTCTATTTCTTTGATTTTCAGCAAAAAAGGGGCTGTTTTTCTGAAAAACAGATTCTGCCCCTTTTCAATGGATTTTTTGCATGAAACTGAGGCCTAAGGTGTCAATTTTGTCTACCAACTGTTGCCCAATGGTTATTTGCAAAATTTTTGGATTTCTATGGATTTTCAGGGCTTTGGCAGTGTTTTTTGCCACAACAGGTCTGCGATTGTCAGGCTTGATTAAATGTTCTTGAGATAGTGGTTGTGTTTGTTGTGGCTTTTTGGTCTATTGATCCATTTAGAGTGCATCTAGAATTTTTGAAGATGTCAAAACCTAGCACGATCTCTCAGAAACAATAGAAAGGTATTACAAGCAAGGATTAAAATATCGTTTCGAAATGATCGAAACATCCAAAACTTTTTCGTTTCCGTTTTCAAAGAGACCGAAATAAATCAGTGATGCAATCGAAATTTTAATACTTCGAGGTGTTCCATAATGTTTTGTTATATTTCAATGTATTTACACAATTATTTCAAAATGTTTCAAGGAATTTCATGATATTTTGGTCTATTTCAACCAATATTTTGAAAAAATAATTCTTAATTTTTTTATTTTTTTTCATTATGTTTTTGAAACGGGTCAAAGGACTCAAAACGTTTTCGACACACGTCAAAACGTTTCCGTTTCATAGGTGACTGATGCACCGAAACGAAATTTTGATACTTGATTGCAAGTCAAATTGGGTTCAGTCTGAAGACCCACCCAACAAATTACAACAATAAAGCTTGATGGCCATAATTGCCAGGTGTGGTCACAATCAGATATGTTGTTTGTTACTAAGGGAAAACTAGGCTATTTGACTGATAAAAATGAAGAATCATGGATTGACTACCCTGAATATTATAACTGGGAGGCTGAGAATCCCATGGTTATATCTTGACTACTATGCTTTATGAAACCATAGATTAGCAATGTCTATTTGTTTCAACACACTACCTAGGAGATTTAGGACGGCGTATGAGGGCCTACTCTAAAGATGGGAAACGTGGCACATATTTACGAGAGAGCAGGGATTAGCAAATATGCTTGAAATGCTTCAAAATGCCAGAAGTTGATTGAACAAGAGAAAATTATTGAATTCTTTGTTGGCTTGAATCCCGAGTTAAATCAAATTATGACACATAAAGGATTCTCATGTTGTTTTCTCTTAAAGTCCCCATTAATTTTTAATCTTTCCTCTATGACCGTTGCATGTCAATGTATTGAGATATATTAAGTAATTGCCATCAAAAGTTTTAACTTCAATTACTTCTTATCCACTTATGTTATAACAAGCCAAAAAATAAATGAGGTATGGGAAATTAGTATTAATTAGTTTAACCATATTATCAAAAATATGCTTTTAAATAAAATCAATGACAATTTATTGGTGGACTCTTCGATTATGTATGTCGAAAAGAAAATTACTGAGAAATGTTACACTGCAAAATCAATAGATGATTTTCGGGACATAAAATAACATTGAGCTCTGTTTGAGTGGATGATTGAGTTGAATTCACTACGAGCCAAGAATTCTATCATTTCTTCTTGCTTTGTATCTTATTAAGGTTAAACTTGTATTAGTTTTATTTTCTTTTACTAATTTAGTTTCAATTATTATTATATTTCTTATGTTTGCGCTTAAAAATATGTACAAGCCTCTAATAGCTTATACCAATTAGCAAAATTCTTTATCCATAATTTTACCTACCCTAAGTTCTGCCCCTGCCCATGGCCTGGCTATAATTCACACACATGAAGACTTATAATGGCATATTATGCCTCCGATTATGGAACTTATGACACAAGTTCCAATTTTTTCCGTAAATTTAAAGAAAATATGGGAATGCAAGCAATGTAGACGTGAAGAACGTAGTTAATATAAGTATTTTCACGTATGTGTCCTCATGAATTACCATGTATTAGATTCCTACTTCAACAGATTACTCTTACTTTCCAAAGTCGAACAACCAACTTTAAATTTTAAACTCTAGCTATCACAGAATAGTATGATGAACAAGCATTACCAAAAAAGGCATGAACAACAAAGAAAATAAACTAACAAAAATATCATGAAACTTAATAGATACGTTTCGACTATTTTATGAGGAAAACCTGTCCAATCTATCTGTTCCAGCTAACAGCAAGAGCTTTGGAACAGCACATGACAGAAATTTTTCTGAGAGGCCTTCATACCTGGAATATAGATAGTATATTAACTATTGGAATTGAATATGCCTTTTGCGATGAAAGATGGCGCAACAAAAAAAAATGAATTGTTCATCTTCAAATAGTTCTGAAAATAAGCTACATTACATACCAATCTCGCTTTTACAAGCATCAGCTTGTTGATATTGAGAATCATGTTGACAAGAAAATATACGAATGTAGACTTATAAGGATTATAAGCCAATTAAACTAGATTCAGTTATTAAGTATTTTAATGAGAATTGAGAACTCCTCAAAGATTATTCTCTGCTCGCTGAATGGTGGCCAACCTTTAAAGAAAATCCTGAGCACATGTATTACTTAGAGCTGCACATCCAGATATCACATTGAAATGAAGTTACTCAATTCTCTGTGGCCAACATTGAAGGTTGCAATTCCATTGATTGAATAGAATGGCCTATTTTGAGGCCATTACAGTATAATAGTTGGATATCATTTTTATTACCCCGAAGAAATGATAAAATTTCGATGCTTCAGAAACAATAACAAGATACCTTGATTGCTATACCAATTCCACTCCCCTGGGTAAATTGGTCCCTACATGCTGAGGAAATAAAATAAATTCACTTCACTCCCAAGGGCATCATAGGCTAACCTAGTCATCAGAGTTTGTTTCTTAACATATCAACAGCGTAGACCCGTTACCATCCGCATTAAAAGTATTATATTAGGTTGGATTGCAAAGTCCAGGTTCTACAAACAACTCGGGTCCTAAAGAACAAATTTCAAAATAAAATCGAGAGTGAATTAAAACTGTTGATTCAAAGGAATTAGCAAGAGAACAAAAACCAAAACATTAAAAAAAGAGCACTCATAAGAACTCCACCACAGAAAACCGGCAAAGAAATGAGAACAGGATTTTATCAACAAATAGGGCAGAAAATCAAAAGAGAAAGCAGAGGTATTAATTCCTGAAGATGAAACAAAAACTCACAAAATGCTTTGATAACTACACTCAAAGGAAAGACTAAAAAACTATAAGCCAATTTTTTTAACCAAGCAGACATAAATTCTTGTTTTTAAAGTATTTGGCATCGTAAAGGTTGAAGAGCAAGCTCAAAATGACCTTCCCCGCCTGCATGAGCCCCACCCCACCCCCCCCCCGCGGGGCCGGCAGGAGGCTTTGTTTCCACATTCTGAAGAAGGCACAACTACAGTTGACATGAAGATAGGCAGCTGCAATTGGAAGCCATAGCCTAATAAATGGGCAGTAAATCATTTCAGTTAGTGGACAGATGGCCCAAGCCTTTTTATTTTATTTCATTTGTTTTATCTAATTTTTTGAGAAACTATGCCGGTTGAAAATGGTGACTTCTCAAAAATGCACTTTAACATGCTCTTGGAAACCAGTCTGACTATTGAAAGGAATAGTGTGACGAGGCACTACACTTCTGAGGGACGTGGCCTTCACTCCTGCCTACATATTCAAATACATGAGCCATTATGATTATGTATGATGAAAGAATTTTCAAACTATGGCCATGACACACCATAAATATTGACAAAATTAAAGTTTTCTTGTAAGTTCAGATATCTTGGCAAGGCTCTTCGACAGAACCATTATTTTCCTATTAGATCCCACTGTGTGGACATGTGTTGGGTTTGGGAATAAAAAATTCCTTCCCAGACAGGTTGGGGGTGGGCTGCTTATGCCAAATCCATCCTGTTGCCATCCTAGAAGATCTTTATAGTCCATGCACTTATTAATGTCAATAGTAATCCAACAAGAACCTACAGACATAAGACTCCTGCAAGAAATTTTCCCTTTTTTTTTTTGTTTGACATATAATATCATTAACTGCTTAAATTGTAGTCCATTATGACTTCTAGTTGGCAATATCATACAGGCTTGTTTTGCATGTATGACAACATTTGTGTGTTAAATTTGTGCATTCAACCACTTATATATGGGTCCCACTATCTACCATGCAAAGTTCACACTCATTTCATGTGCTCTCTCTCTAATAGCCAATAGGAGATTCAAACTAAACCAAGACATCCAGAATCCAAGAGCATTGAAGGATCAAGATTAAAGCAGAAACACTTGAAGATAATTTAGTAATTAAGACCATGTGGGAGCTTAAATTAGTAACAGAATCATTCAAAGACAGACTTGGAAAGAATTTTGGAAGGAAAGATGTTGACATTCTTGAGGTATTTTGGCCATAACATTTTGCTCCGATATTGGATTAAGGCGATTCTTGCGGCCCTGAAAAGAAGACTCAAAGCTCTAAATTTGGATGTAAGTTGGCTAACACTGGGAAGAGGCAATTAGGCAGATTCTGCTCTCTTAGTTTGTTGCGATTTTCTTTCCTTTTCACAGATTTGTAAAGAATTATAGAAAGAAAGATTTTGACATTAGATCAGTTTTTTGGCCATAACTTTTCTTTCCAATATCAGATCAAGGCGAATCTTGCATTACTGCAAAGAAGACTCAGAGCTCTACAAATTTGGGTTATTTATGGATAAAAGCTACAGCAGTCTAAATTAATCAAGCCATGAACTATATATGGAGATGCACTATTAATTCAACAACTTCAAGTATATATAGAGTGCAAAGCCAACACTCTGCGGAGAAAAATGATACCACCCACGTGGCCTATTGTTTGAATGCCTCCCCTTTAAAAGTATCACCAAGTTAGGCCAACAAACTATTTACTCAATCTGATGATTAGGTTTGGTGGCTATACTTAATTAATCCAAGAGCCTTACCACTTTGAACCAATTGCCAATCCCCAAACCCACCACACAAAAAATGGTTTTAAGAAAACAATCAAGGAACAAATAATATAAAGTTTTCAAAGCACAGGAAAACTAGTTGTTCCGTATGACAACAAGCAACATTGAACATCCTGATACATGAGCACACACATGTCAGAGATTTGAGTCTCATTTATGATAGTAATGAGGAACTCCATGAACCCGACGTGTCCTGTCTTTAGTAGTCATATTAAATAAGAGGAAAAACAATACCAGCCTCTCCAATATTGATCTGTTTCCATGAGTCGTGCTCGGTGAACATAACTGCAATACCCGAATGAAATCAATTATGCATATTAGGTAAAAGGCTAGTGTATAAAGCTAATAAACAATATAAATAACATCCAACAAGTGATAGCTAAAGTTGATAGATTCCAGTGATAGTAAAAGCGGTGAGACTCTAGATGCAATAACTAAAAAGGGTCAACTGTTGGCTTACCATTTCTTTGAATCGTCATACTTCAATGTGCTGGGAATCGATACACGAGCAGACTCGATGTTTCTTAAAGAACCTCCTTTGACACTCCACTCAATCTAATGAGATATATATTTGAACTCATTAAAATAAACTTCAATAGTAAACCAAGGTGACATTGAAACCATAGTGTTAATCTCAAAAAAGCCTACTGTTAGATATAAAGTGAGTTTCCCATATCGAATGATTAGGACCACTCAAGGTTGGTTTATATACTTAAGACACTTTGCACTCATTGCCAATTGATTTTGGGTTGGATGCTCTAACATTAGGCCTTGGGTCATCATTGTCTCAATTTTCTTACCTATATTGAAGTTTTCAGCATGCGTGTCTATTTGTTTGTTATTCCCACATGCAAGCAAGGGTCCCACGTGAGGGAAGGTGTAAAGAAAGCTTGTATCCCATCTCAAATGATTAGAACCACCCAAGGTTAGTTTATATGATCAAGAGGTCACTCCATTTATTGTCAATTGGTTTTGGGTTGAATGCTTTGACATTAGAGGCACATAAGTGGCCTGTCATGATCCTTATTTTATTACAATTTCATGTGCTCAGCAGCAACACAAGATACAAAAACTCACAACAGACACATTATAACATTGATACAAAAAAAGAATACAAGATCAAGGATGCTAATTATGGTTTACAGCTCAAGGTTCGAATAAAAGAACATATCATAGAACAATAAAACATTGGAAATGCTGAATGTTGGGAAAGTATAAAGAAGACCACATGTCATGACTAGAGGATATAAAGTTACCAGTAGAGAACATGGAAAATTATGAAGAACAAGAGTTGAAGTTAAATCATATTGAATAAGCACTATCGTACTTGTTTTTACTCAGCTATGCGAACACTAGATTGCTAGTTTGCTCTATCAAGGGCTATATTGTTACCAAATTTTGTAGTCTACTTACCTAAAAGAAGCTCTTTTTTGTATTACCCTGTTACTGTGCAAACCACGACAAAAACAAACCAAGCACACTAATCAGTAAGCACTGTGTTTCCACACAAAACCCACCAGAGTACTATAATTTTGTTTTCTAAAGAATCATTATTAAACTGCAAGGCTCACATCCGACACTTCATCACTATATTCTTGTCCCCAATTTGTGATAATGCCTCCTATTTATTCCCTAGCCCGAATCAATCTCAACATGCTTCATTCTTCTGCAGCTCCTCACATTCAATTATCCAAATGATCATGCAATTTCCGGTTTCAGTTTTACAAATACACATTCATCACACATCACACTCTAATCGTGAGGCAACACACTCGTCAACCTTTGCATCGTTAGAAAACAACAAAACCAAGAAAATAATTCGATTAAAGAATCTTGCAGTAGTTAATTTTTTACAACTCACTTATTTATTCTTTCTTTAAATCAGATTACATGCACTCATATCTGCTTATAATCTGATTTCATCAGTCAATCCATTTATAATCAACATAGATGATATGGGGCTTCAGCTCCTTACACTCAAATGATCATGCAGTTTCTTGTTGACTGAAACTACTTACAGTAAACAACATGGCTGCCTTCTGGATTGTTATTTGCCTTCAGTTTACAAATACTCCTGAGGTAACATGCTAATCAACCTTTGCATCGTTAAAAGAAAATGATCCCATTATAAAAACTTGCAGTAGTTAATTTTTTACAAGTCACTTATTTAGACTTTCTTTAAATCATATTACTCGCACTCATACCTGCTTATAATCTGATTTCATCAG